TTCGATCAAGCGATGTTTTCCACGTCCATTCTACAAATCATTGTTCTTGAAAATATTCGAATAAATAAAATATTGACAACTAGATATTTTACAAATTAAAATAAATCAAATTGAATAAAATGGAATATACATTAGTAATATATATATATATATATATGAACATAAAGGGTAAAAAACAAATTTAATAAATATGTATGTGGGTATATGATATAGCATGTGTATGTAATGAAATAAAATAAAAATAAATTAAGACACGCACCAATACATTTGAAGCATAATATGTACATGAATATTATAACACGGGTTAATATGTAATCATGCAAACATAGCATACTATAATGCAAATAACATAAGATTAATAAGCTTTAAAAACAAGTGACTAAACTGCATAAATTAAGAACACAATATCATTATCGTAAAATAAAAAAATAAAAAAAATGAATCAGTGACTATAATGAAAAAGAATAAAAATCAGTGGTCGATTTCAAAATAAACAAAACAGCATGCAGAGTGACCAAATTGAAACAAAACAAAACAGAATGTGAATATCAGAATAAACAAAGAACATGAGCCTCCTGATGACTATAATGTAAAAACATGATAAAGATCTAGGTATCTAAATCATGATTAACCCAATAAATCTAGTGGCCAAAATGAAAATATCATAAATTAGTAGTCAAATTAAAATAACAATAAAAGTAATGTGACAACAACTAGGGATTAAACTGAAAGTTAATAAAAATACTTAACCAAATCCAAAACCATAAAAAATACATCAATAACCAAATAGGGACTAGAATGAACTGGAAATATATTAAGTAGCACGATTAAAAGGAATTAATTTTTATTCACAGCTGAAATGTAAGGCTTACAAAATGAAGGGACTAAAAACCAAGTTATCCCCAAAAAAACATAACACGCAGGCTGAGATCAAAACGGTGTCGCTTCAGGGTTGGGATATAATCCCTTTTAGGGGTTATTTTGAAACCCTAATTTATTTCCTCAAACCCCATTTCAACTGTGCTCTCTTTCTTCTCTATTTCCCCCTCTCTTCTCCTTCAACAGATGAGGAAACCCAAAAGCCACCGCCCCTTAACCGCTCCGATGAGGGAAAGGTAAGTCTCCTCTCACTCTTTTTATTTTTTGATGGTTATACTCTCTCGTTTTTTTCTATGAACCCGAATGTCCTCTATTTTTCTCTATTTGTATTTTTATGTTTGCTTCCCCCTGTATTTCTGGTGAGATGATGATGATATCTAGAATAGGGGTATGGGGTTTCAGATTCGGGAATGGGTTTATGATTTGGTGACTGAAAAATCCTAATTTTTAGGGATTTAGATATAGGGTTTCTGACTTGGTTACTGTTGGTGCACTGTAGATTGATTTTTTTCTCTGTATATGATATTTTATTGATTTGTCTTGTTGTAGATGATGATGGTGGCGTGCAAACGGTGGTTGGTTCGTAGGGAATGGGCCGGAACAGTGGTGGCGGTGTGGCTTTTCATCTGCCGGGGCGGCTGCTGAACTGATTAGGGTAAAAACCCTAATATGTTTAGGGTTTACCAAATGGGCTGGTGTTGGGTTGGACCGGGTCGAGTCTGATGCTGAAGATCCAATATTTTGGGCTTCAATTGGGCCCTACAAAAATGTAATTTAAATATAATAATAATAATAATAAATATAATGTGTTTGTAGACTCGAACAAAAACGGATGTCTACATATATAATATTATATCTCATTATTCAAAATATTATATTACCCGTTTCAATTAATTTATTATAAGGTAATATCTTCATAATTTTTCTCCAATTTTTAAAATCCGGGCCCTCTTCCTTTAAAATAATTTATTTCGTATATTTGGAACAACAAAGGCAGAGGTCGTGCGCCTGAGAAAAGTTTCAAAGGCTTTGTTGCAGACAAAGAGAAGGTCAAGCCTGTTACAAAGATCAAAGGTCAAGCCGGGTTCATTTAAAATGCTGCAATGCGACTGACCACATCCAGTTTTCACTTAAATTATTTTAAGCGGTTATGTACAGCAATCTCAGAAGGTTCAATTATATTTTTCAGAGGTTTTGTATCAAATGATTGTTTGTCTTTTTTGCTAGAGCATTATATGTTCATCATGCCATGCAATAGCAGTGTAAAAAAGCTAGCATTTTATGTTGTGTTCACTTATCACTTGGCTTTTTAGTTTTGGCACACTTCAATCATCATGGAGACGATAACTGATAAAATAAATGTTTATAGTATCTGATATTGAAGTTGGATCATAATCCCATTGTAACTGGATATATGGTACATTTGTCTTAACAGCCAATACTGGGAACAAAATGCTATATAAAATAGTTCAGACTTTATGGATCATCTCTTCTTTCCAAGTCATACAAGTCTCTTGGCTTTGAAGAGCTCAGATTTACAATCACAACAAACATTTGAAAGTACAAGGATGGTTAGAAGTCCAAATACACCTGGAGTTGATATGCAGATGAAATTTTGTTTCCAATTAATTCTTGGCTAGCAACATTTTTTTCTCCTTTTTGCGGCACATACTTCAGATATGCACTTCATTAATTTTCCAGGACATTCTTGTTTAATTTAGCTATTTCTATTTGCGATACAGAATGGAGGGTGTTAAAGTTAGTCTGCTCTTTGTTTTAGTTGCTTTTTTCTTCACATATTTGTCAGAGATTACTTTTAAGGAATAATTTCATAATAATTTAGAAGGAAAAAAACTGGGTCATAGAACCACCTTGAAGGTGGGGTAGACTTAACCGATGTATCAACAGGAAAGCTCGTAGGCTTTGGGGTAGCCTTATGAAACGAGCGATGTGGGACTACATGAATAATATAAAACTTTCACCAGAACGCCATCGTTTAACCTCCTTAGACTTTGGAATTCCATCCAGAGTGAAGAGTCTTTCAAAAGGGGGGAATCCTAAGAAAGATGTGGTATCTTCAACTTTACGCCTGAAAAAATCGACGGCACAACCCTCGTCTTTGGTTTTGCCAACTGCATCATCCTTTGAGGATGATTTTGATGCATCAGAAGATACATGTGGTGAAGCCAGATCAATACAGTTTCTGTATATCCGACAAGTTACGGAAGCCTAATGATCAGGCAAAATGGAAGGAACCATCGAAATCTGATTTTAAGCAACCAATATTAGATGCTGATTTTGAATACCCTCCTGCAGGTATTTTTTGCAATAAGAATGATATTGTTAAGAGGCACATAAAACAAATGGTTCAAGGTGATATTTCTCTTGAAAAATTAATCAAGTTTTAAGAGCATGTAACTTGTTGGCTACAGTTTCAAATAGCAAAGCAGAGCATGTAACTTGTTGGCCACAGTTTCAAATAGCAAAGCATTTATCAATTAGAACAGACGCTTCTTCTTTTTCTTCACATAAATTCATAAAAGCTAATAAATTAGGAGAGAATTTCCGTAAAAACAATGATCATCTAAAGCTTAAAATTGATATTTCTCTTGAAAAATAAAGCAAGTTTTAAGAGCATGCAACTTGTTGGCTACAGTTTCAAATAGCAAAGCATTTATCAATTAGAACAGACGCTACTGGTGGATGGTGTTGAGTTGATTTTTTGTTCTAAGAAACTTGTATATCCATCATAGTTTGCATTTGTGAAACACAAGTATTGTCCAAGCAACTGACTCAGGATCGTGATTAAACTTTTGTCTCTGAAACAACAACAATAAAAGCAACACATGGAGAAAAGCTGAAGAAGAAAGAAGATCACTTGATTAGTTCATCGATCCAAAGATTATTTGTCATTTTTTCTATCATAGTTTTCAGGTTGTTAAAAAGAGTTCAGTAGTTTTTGATGTAGGAAGATGATGCTAGTGTTATGGGGAAATTCTTTCGTGGTTCTAAGTATTTAAAGACACTGAAGGAGGAAGAAGAAGAAGAGGAGCACGTGATTTTTTAAAAATTAATTTAATTGCCACGAATACTTTCATTAAGGTTAACGAGAGTTAATGGACGAAGGATTAAAATCTAACGGATCGATAATATTAGAGATCATGTACCCTTAATTCTTAAGTTAGTGACCAAAGTCGGTCATACCAAAAATAAATTGAACTATTCTCCTTTACCCTTAAAATTATTATAAATAAATATTAAAGGCATTTAAGTATTTTAAAGGCTTCATTATACAAAAGGTACCCAACATATGCCCCTTTTTTAATTTAGTTCTAACATTTATTTCGTTTCAATTTGATACCTAATGTTTCATTCCAACACTTAAAATGGGTCCAGCCGTGACGGACCATTAAGTTTGGCCGTTAACCCATTAAAAATGTCACGTGACATATTTTTTAATACTAAAAAATGATTTATGAAAATAAGAAACCTATTAACTTTACATTAATTCCCATCTGCAACCAATATTTTGACTGCTATACCAGTGCTATCAATAAGTTCGTATTTGGAAAAAGAAATATGAAATAGTTTTATACATAAAGGAAAAGAAAATGGAAACCATGAACGTAGTAAACAATAAAAGGTAATGACGAGAAGCATGGAAACCTGATGCTTGACAGGACTGGAGTAAACCCTGACAGAATTTAGTTCAGTCAATTTAGTAACCAATGGAAACTTGTTGTAGTCCAGAAACTGCAAAATGACCTCCATCTCAAAGGTACCTTCTGTAAAACCAGACAGCTATGTTATTAATCTGTCAACGATTCTGGTTCACTGATATTCAGGGGAAAAAGAGAGAGACAAGAACAGAGGAAGTCATTAGTCCATAAGTTTATTTGAGATCTTACTCCAGACAATCACTGATTACAAATTTCAACATTAAAATAATTTGCATGTTCACATATGAACCACTCAGAGGAAGGAAACCTAAAAGTAGAAAATAAATAACTCATGAACCATTCACAATAAGCAGTTTTCCAAATTACAAACTCACCATAAGCAGTGTATCTTTCCGGTTCATTTTTAACAATCCCAAGGAAATTAGTAGTTTTAATATCAGGGTAGAGAACTTCTGCAACCTCATTGTTTGTTACAGCAAATTGGATTTCATTTTCAGTCGTTGCTGCCTTTATAAATGCTTCATAATTAGATCCCTGCAAAAACACCATGATGATTACATTCCACAAGCGCATTAACAAATTTGAGACACTAGAAGACAATGTTATATATTAGCCATGCACCTTAGAACGTGGCAGAGTAGAAGAAGATATATGAAAACAAAGGCTAAAGAATCCGATTTGACATCGAAGTGATTAAGCGAAAAGAGATTGTTTTTAAATGTAGTTATCATCTGAAAACAGAATTCTCCAAAGCGAATTATCCACTGTAAATTAATTTAAAATTCAACAAAGAAGAGAAACTTACGATGAAAATCCACCCGCATAAGCTTGAGGAGTGCCATTAACAAACAAAATCAGAGTAGGGAACCCTTTAATATCAAGCAAAGAAGCTACCTTGGGGTACCTTTCAGCATCAAGTTTGGCCATCACAAAGGAACTTCCTAATGCTTTCAAAGAAGTAGCAGCTTCAGCGAAGTGAGGCATAAGCTCAGCACTCCTAACACACCAAGGAGCATACCCCAAAAGCATAACAAACTCGTTCTCGTCAAAAACCCTCTTGGAATTATCACTGTTGAGTTCAAGGACTATCCTTTTTGCTTTACTCAGCACCTCTGCTTCCGAAAATCTACTGATAGAGTCTTGGTCTTGTTGTAGCTGATCTTCTTGTTCATCCAGGGCTAAAAGCTGTTCAAAGTCATCAGAATCATCTTCAGAGCTGGTGCGATCAAAGGCATTGGTGTTTATGGGAAAAGAGAGTAGTAGGACAAAGGTGAGAGTGAGAAGGAATTTTGAAGTGGGTTTTTTGGACAAAAACATGGTGATTAGATTGCAAAGGAGGGTTCTTGAGAATTCCGCAATGGAGGTAAAGAAATCTGAAAGTTTCGGATCAGATCTGTGGTGGAAGAGATGTTTTTGTTTTTCTGGGTTTTTTTTAGGTTTTTCCTCTTCCCTAATGAGAAACAAGCTTTAATTTGAGGACAGATTTGCTAGTGTAAACAGTTTTGTTAGTAAAAAATGAACTGGTTGGTCTTAATATCTTTACTTTTACTTTTATTTTAATTTTATTAAATGTGAATTAAATTATTCCAAATTTAAGTAATTTTAAGGATGGCATTAATTGAATTTTAGAGCCGGGGGCGGTCAACGCTAATATCAGAAATAAAGTAAAAGACTGGTACATATTAGAATGATGAGAGATATTCTAATCAAATGATAAAATTCAAATTTTTAGTCATAAAAAAAAAAGAATTTACAAGCTTTACAAGTGGGAAGAGGAAACAAGCAAAAAGAAGAGGAAAAAAAAGAAGGTATGGCATCGCAGACAGGATCCCTGGAACAGACTGCCCGGGATTCGATGGTGCATGATAGGGCGTCCCCCTCGACCTTGATGGGTTAGTTCTTGTAGAATCACCGACCAAAGGCAAAATTTTCCCTCCGGTGCTTCCTACTCACAAGCTTTCCATCCCCGTTTACTAAATTTTGTATCGGAATAGATAATTTTTAATGTTATTTCATTACTGTCACTGTCACACGATGGCAACGGATGTGGGAAAATTAAAGAATATATAGTCTTAATAAGGATCGAATTTGGAACTTCTAAGGTAGATCCAGTGCTTAATCATTAGGTCAAACTATAATATTATTATATTATTATAATATTCTAACATATGCAATCAGTAAATACTTTTCATTCAATTTGTATGAAGAATCAATAAGGATGGCTAAATTTTTATTCAAGTTTCAACTTGCAACAAATATTTGCCCCATAGGTAGAAGGTTTTTCAATCATCTACATATAATTTCTACCATAAAATGTCCTTAAAATCATGAAAATATAAATGAGAGCAGCAATCTGAAGTTGGCAATCTACTAATATTATAGCACCACAGGAGTTAACGGTGGTTTCTTCTGAAAGTGTGCCACCAAGTTCCCAATCACAAGATCAGCCATAGCTTGGCAGGTTTCCACAGTATCACTTTTCCACATGAGGTACGAGCACTGCATTATCAAGCCCGAAGAGCTTTTCCGGTACGTTGGGTTCGTGTTCAAACACATCAAGCCCCACCCGGAGTTCAACTAATGCAGAAACCAGCTCAGGTTCATCAAGGTGAGGGTCTCTCCCAATGTTGATGAGGACTCCCTTTGGACCTAACCAGGGCCGGCTCTGGCTATTTTTTGGCCCAGGACGAGATAAAAGAAATGAACCTCAAATTTCAAAAAATTATAAAAAATATATAATATAAAATTGATATTATTTTTTTATTAAAATAAACAAATAGTAATTAATTATCATCTCAAAAGTGTTAAAAAAATATTAAAGCACACAAAAATTTATAGAAAACATTGTCTTCGAGCATTTTTTGATACAAAATCATAGAGTCAACATCAATATTTTTCAACATATTTTTTCATTACATAACATAGGTAGCTCATTCAATCTTTTTTGTGACATTGTTAACCTCAAATAATTTTTCAACAATTTCTTTTTAGAAAAGCTTCTCTTAATTTATTATGAGAAAAAAATAATCTCTAACTTATGAGAAAAAATAATCTTTAACTTAGAAAAACACTTTCATTTCAGAAAATGAACACGCATAGCCATATGTGAACTCGCATGGCCAGTCTTGACTATTTTTTGGGTCGAGTCGAAATAAAAAAAATAAGCCCCTAATTCAAAAATAAAATAAAATAAAATAAAATATGTAATATAAAATTTATATTATAATTTTTTTTATTAAATTAAACAAACAATAATTTAATACAATGTCAAAAATATATTTATGTATACAAATACTTATAAAACATTGCATTCTAGCATTTCCTAATGCAAAATCATTGATTTTAGTGTAAAAATATTGTATTGTGGAAAAGCATTTTTTAAATTAAACATCATGTTTAAGCATTTCTTAATCCAATAGTTTATTTTGGAGTAAAAAAAATCCCTCTATGGATGAAAATCGTTAGTCAACAAATTATCAACGCTCTAAAATACATATTTTCTTTCTAAAATGAAACGATGGGTACCAAAATATTAAAAAAAATCAAGTGACTATTTAGTCAAATCTTAGAGGTTTTTTATCTTAAAAACGTTGAATTAAAATGATTCAAAAAATGATTAAAATGATTATTTAATCGAACGTTAAAGACTTATTTAACATTATACATTTTCTTTTTCATGGTGATTTGCTGCCAAATGCTTTTCCATTGGATCACATGGGTGATTCCCATATTACAAATAAATTTATTAGATCATATGCTTGAACAAAATCATCTGATCATTTTAAATGAAATGAAAGATATACGCAGTCTATATGCTGATTAAATGGGTTGATGTATATAATTTTCAGTGAGAAAATTAGGCATTGATTGAAATTTTCTAGGCCAAAAACATATACACTGAGCCGACTGAATATTATGGGCCCTGGGCAGGTACCTCTCCTGCCCCGGCTCAGGGCCGACCCTGGACCTAACGCATCAATGACTTCCCTGTTGATGATGTGGTGGGTCTCCTTAGTCAGGGGACAAGAAACAACCAAGATATCACAATGGGAAGTGTTCAAAGTCAAAATATGATGGCTATCAAAAAAAACATGTGGGCGCCTAATTAGGCAAATTGGCAGCACACAATTGTTGAATTTGGACAATGGTTAAATCATAATTTAGTCATTGTAATTTAGGGTATTTATAAATTAGTCTTTAAGCTTCAACTATAAATATCCTAGCTCATTTAGCTTCAAAAGCATCCCAAAGCATTCTAGTTTTTTCCAATACTAGAGAATTTAGAGAGTTTCTTGAGAGTTGTTTTCTCCTTTTTATCAAGAGAAAATTATCATTGTTTTCTCCTTGATAGATCGAGAGAAGTTATAATTTCTATTTTCTCATAGTGAAATTCTTCTACTATTGCCCGTAGTTTTTACCCTATATTATTTAGGGGTTTTCCACGTAAATTTTGTGTCTCTTTTATCTTCATTTTTATTTTCTCAAATTATCAGTTGCGATTTTGCTCTATCCGATAGCCGTCTTCCGCAACAATTGGTATCCGAGCCAGATTACAGTGTGTAATATCTGCTTATTGTCTTTGTGGTTGCCACCAAAATGCGGATCCTCCAACATAAGAAAGTAAGAAGTTATTACACATTCTTTGAAGGTTCTAGAGAACTATTCACGATAGTAAAATAGTGAGAGCTATCCGTAATAGAAGCTATGACAACGAAATTTGATATTGAAAAATTCAATGGGAGAAATTTCCCATTGTGAAAATTGAAGATAAAGGTCATCCTGAGGAAAGACAGTTGTCTAGCAGCTATTAGTGAAAGGCCGGTGGATTTCACAGATGACAACAAATGGATCGAAATGGACGGGAATGTTATGGCAAACTTTCATCTAGCATTAGCAGATGAAGTATTGTCAAACATCGAGGAGAAGAAGACAGCTAAGGAGATATGGGATCATCTCACCAAATTGTATGAGGCCACATCGCTGTACAATAAAATTTTCCTTAAGAGGAAATTGTACACTCTCCGTATGTCAGAATCTACTTCAGTGACGGAGCACTTAAACACACTAAACACGTTATTTTCTCAGCTTACATCCTTAAGATGTACAATAGGAGAACAAGAACGTGCTGAACTTCTACTTCAAAGTCTACCTTATTCGTATGATCAACTCATCATCAACTTGACAAACAGTAATGTCACCAGTCTAGTCTTCGATGACGTTGCAGCTGTTGTTCTCCAAGAAGAAAATCGATGCAAGAACAAGGAAGACAGACAAGTAAATCTGCAACAAGCAGAAACATTGACAACGATGAGAGGGAGATCAACAGAACGTGGCCAAAACAGCAGTCACAAATATGGTATATCAAAGTCGAGGAGCAAGAAGACTTTAAAATGCTACAACTGTGGAAAGAAGAGTCACTTGAAGAAGGATTGTTGGAGTCTAAATAAAAACTCCAACCCACAAGGCAATACCGCAAACATTTCAGATGATGGAGATGCTCTATGTTGTGAAGCGTCAACCACCGTGGAAGGCAGAAAAAGATTTGCAGATATATGGCTCATTGATTTGGGAGCAACATATCACATGACCTCAAGAAGAGAATTGTTCCATCATTATAAACCTGTCTCAGGAGGATCTGTGTATAGTTGCAATGATTATGCCTTAGAGATCGTTAGCGTGGGAACCATCAAATTGAAGATGTATAATGGAACAATTAAAGTTGTTCGAGATGTACGGCACGTGAAAGGCCTGAAGAAAAATTTATTATCCTACGGATTGTTGGATAATAATGCAAGTAAGATTGAAACACGGAAAGAAATCATGAAGGTGTTTCGTGGAGCGCTTGTGGTGTTGAAAGACGAAAAGATAGCAGCAAACTTGTACACGCTGAAGGGATAGACTTTGCTAGAAGCAGAAGCCTATGTTGCCTCATGTAGTTCAGATTCTGCAATGCTATGACATCAGAAACTTGGACACATGTCAGAACAAGGAATGAAAGTCCTTGTGGAAGAAAAGCTACTTCCAGGCTTAACAAATGTATCACTTACTTTGTGTGAGCATTGCATAACAAGTAAGCAGTACCGGTTGAAATTCAACACATCAAATTCTAGAAGAAAAATTGTTCTAGAATTGGTTCACTCTGACGTATGGCAAGCACCAATTACATCTCTAGGCGGAGCAAAATACTTTGTCTCATTTATTGATGACTACTCTAGGAGATATTGGGTGTACCCTATTAAGAAGAAGTTAGATGTGTTTTCAACTTTCAGAAACTTCAAAGCATTGGTGGAACTTGATTCTGGAAACAAGATCAAGTGTTTCAGAACAGATAATGGAGGAGAATACACAAGCGAAGAATTTGATGACTTTTGCAAGAAAGAAGGCATCAAAAGACAGTTCACAGTGGCGAACACTCCTCAACAAAATGGAGTGGCAGAGCGGAT